AAAGGTCTTTTCCAATTTCACAGGTCATTGTCTTTCACTTTACTGGGTTGCCTCCCAGGATGTGGCAATTTGATGACTCTGCCTGAGGTCACATTATAAGTCATAAGTGAGCTGGGAACACAGCTGGGGCATCTCCACATTGCTGAAATCCTAAAATATAATGTGTGCTCTCTAACCAATCCAGTACATTAACTTCTTGAAGAGGAGAGACAGCATGGAAGCTTTTGATGTACTATAAAAAATTAACTATCTGAAAAAATAAATACAGCAGTTATGACATTTGGCTTAAAATGGGAAAGAAAAATAATTAATTAAATGTGAACTTCGCAGATGACCGACCATTTTGATAAATAGCTAACCTCCATGGTAACATTATTTTGAGGAATTTTATGAACATTCCTTTCCTCTGGGCACTCAGCATCCTAAACAGTGTAAAAGTAGCCTGGTTAAATGGACTTTAAATATGATTAATCATTCTAGAATCATAAGGGCTGATCTACCATGAAGCATTTTCTGATAGAGAGTGTTTCCACTGGCTCTGTCAACATAGTAGCTATGTAACTTTGGGCAAGTTGCTTAACTTTCCTTGCCTCAGTTTCCTCATTTAAAAATGGGGATAATGTAGAACCTACATTAAAAAGTGATTGTGAGGATTTAGGGAAGTACTTAGTCTGGAACATGACATTATTATGTATGTAAATTATTGCTATTATTAATTATTTCTCCCAGTTACAACAGCCTGTTGTAAATCATGCCAGATTACCCAGAGAGTGCATATGAGGTTTTGAAAGATCTGAAGGATGTCCTAGGTGGTGGCATTTATAAGAAGCCCAGTCTGTTTAGACATGCGCTAGCAGTGACAGAGGTGAAATTCAATTCCAGGCCTGCCTTATTCCAAAGTAGTTGAGGGAAGGAGATTCAGTGATGACTAGAGTGGTACAGACACAAGACTGAGCAGACTCCGTGTAGATTGACTTCTTTCTTCTGACAGATCTCGAGAACATGAACCACATGGTGTTATTAGTAAAAGTTTCAATTTACTATTGGAAACAGCACAAACATAACATGGTTCTATGGGGAAAGAGATTTTTCACACTTGTGTGCAGTGTGGATGACTTGAAGGTAACTCTTTCCAATGTTTGTTAACAAAAAATGTCCCAAACATTCTGTTCAATGGCAGAAATAAAGAAATGAATTAGACCTGGCTCCTCATCTCAAGGGGGCACATAATCTAGTGACACAGAGGCAGTGCCAGCCCAGGGATTATGGCAGGTTTGAAAAGTGTGGGTTGTTTTGTATGGAGTATGGAAAGGCTGGTTATGAGACTGAGTCCCTGGTGAAGTAAAATGATTAAGGATTGTGCAAAGGGACTTGAGAAAAATTCAAGCTTGAGAAATCCTGGAGAAAGCATAATGATATACTTTGTGAAGGACTGAATAGCGTATGAAGGAAAAGATAATAGTAGTGATAGAAATTATATAGTTATAGTCATTATCATTCTGGGAGTAACTGAGCATTTTACAAAATAAGAAATTCAAGTGCTTGTAAAAGGAGAACTGTAACACTGATCTTTTTGAGACTACCTCTATTATTATTATTATTATTATTATCATCATTATTATTATCATTGTTATAAGAGCTAGCAAAAAAATAGTAAAAGGCATATTTGAAAATGAGACTGGGAAAGCAAAGAATTATGATGTCTCTAAAATACAGCTAAAAATACTACTGACAAGTGATTGATTGGATGAGTACAGACACCACTGCAGATACCCAGGAGTAACCACATGGAAATGAAGCTTTTGAATTTAAGAATGATGATGCCATTGGAAACATTGATGAGATCTGTGTGAAGACTCTTGACAACAGAAAGCTATACCCAAGCAGTGAGATCTGAGAAAGATGGGTGATGAACAGAGAGTGAGAGAATGATGGAGTCTGAATAAGAGAGGTAAAGGTGTTTCCAGGTGCCAGGTAGTCCAGTCAACCTGACACTGACTTTGAGAAACCTAGAGAGATGTTCAGGGCCTGCCGGTTTGTTTTGGAGTTTAGTTGCCATGTGCTGAGTGAAGAATGAATAGTTTCCCTCTGTCTGAAAAAGTTGTGCTATTTTACCAAGGCCCAGTTTTTGAGAGATGTGTAAGAAGCCATGGAGATGGAAGTGACCCTCACCTCAGCAGACAGCTCAGCCTGGGGGCAGGGGCACATCACAGCCACGTTCTTGAGGTTACAGCAGCAGCTTTCTAAAATGAGCAATCCCAAGGCTGTTATAGACTTACTCTGAAGGAAAACTTTCATCAGGGTTTAATTTATTTGAGGATTAACTCAGATGGCCATTAATCAAGTAGTTTAAAAATGTATTACATGTGTTTACTCCTTTAATCTTAGATGTTTTTCCCCTGGATAT